AATGAAAAACTGGTCATCATCCGACTTTTTGTGCTTGATGAAGATGCCCAACAACTTAATCACCTGTAGCTAAGTCTGCTTTAATAGCAAATTCACTGAGTGGGATTTTCAGAAACTCAAGGCGGGAGGTGGGGGGAAGAAGCATCAACTCAAGCGTACACCTACGATCCTACACCTTAATCATTCTCAAAGGAAATGTAGCAAAAATAATTAGTCCACTTGGTCACAACACTGAGATAACATATTATTCATCTTTCTCAACAGAAAGCCAAGATAGCTTGATATAAAACAGTATTTCCTCACATAAAGACAAAGTCACTGAGGAGCTGCAACCAGAATGACCTAACCACAACGGTTCATCCCTGTTATCATTACACACTGGCCCCTGCGACAAAGTAGAAGCATTTCATTAAAGCTGTCACAACTTCATATCTACAGAGACTGTTTAACAAACACACTGGCCATAACGGGTTTTCAGATCTTAACACCAAAGGGAACTACTACAATAGTAGTAGTTGGGCAAGACCATTGCAGAGAGACGGCAGAAGCCGGATTAAAACATATCTTTAAAAGATGCTTTCAGGGAAAGCTGTTCAAATGTTTGGCCACTCATTGCTCAAAAAGGCCTAACTTACTGTGTTAAAAGTGCAATTTCCAACTACAGTATTTAGTATGGTTCCCCACAGCAAGACTTCTGCACATGTACCTGTCCAGTGGTCACCACTCAATTTTTGTTCTTGATTTTAAAAAAAAAAAAAAATTAAGCATTGCTGAAAGGCTTGTTTTCCCACCCCTGCAAGTTTTGGCTGCCCTCCTGGGGGCCACCAGCATTCCTATACTGCCCTTCAAATACAGGCTCAGGAACGAGACTTGAGATACTATTGTTAGTGATATGCATCATGCACAGATGTACCATGAAAACTACTCTCTCCCCACAGCCATCACATGAGGGATTACAAATACAGAGAGTGAAATACAGCCATAAAATTGGATCTGAACTGACCATTTCAGAGACAAGATCTACTCCTACTTCATAGTCTCATAATTACATTACTCAGGATTACAGTACGGTTTTTGCTACAACACTGCTCTGAGAGTCATCACTAAAGCAAATACTTGCAATGGCCTGAAAGTCCATAAATCTCAGTTTTCTACGTACCTTTTCTCACAAATTTCTCTTTGAGGAAAGATGACAGGACAACAAGCCTAAGACTGCCATATCTGCTTCAAAAGTAAAATGCATCTCACCAAAATTTCTGCAATAAACTTTCGTCTAATAAAAGTAAGAACAAAAACCCAACCCCTTCCCCCCTACTATTAACAAAAAGTGATGTTTACCTCATCAGTTAATGAGGCTTTTTACCTATGTTTTCATAAATAAAAACTTTAAAAAAACTGGTAGGCTGGCAGGAAAATGGTATAGCAATAAATTATTCAAGGTCTAATGACAGTAACCTCCCTAGCCAAACCCTTTCCATGTAAGTTCATGAAGCCAGAAGAGCCTGCTTCTCCTTTTCTACCATGCCACTGCTGATTTCAAAGGGTCCTCTGCAGGCTCTGGATTCTGACAACAGTAAAAAGCAGGCAACACCGAAATTCACATTCATCAATCTCTAAGCTAAATGGACGCTTGCAAAATGTGACTGAACAGTTCTGATGTTGACGATTTCTTTTGGAGAATATTGGTTAATGGTGATGTTCAACACTTGGAGTTTTTTCTAAGGATTAAACCAGTGCTCTTGCCTAATAACCTTGCACTTAATCAGTTTGCTTAAAAGAATTAACATTGAGCCATATACTTAGTTATTAAAAAGGAATAAGTCATTTATGTGAATGCATTCAAGTTGTATATGATTTAATATTAAGATTCAAATGAACTTCACATAAAATCTACTTTATTAATGAGGTCTCATTTTAATATTAGCACAAATATGACACACACCTGGAGCGGCATTCTATATTCACTGCAATACTTCATTTGAAGAGTGACAAAAATCACAGCTGGCTCAAAATTAACTTCAATCTTTATGGATTTTTTTTTTTTAAATTGAACAAGTCCTAGAAGTATTACCAATAGCAAAAATAAATTTAGCTTTTACAGATCACTTTATAAACAGTAATTCTTAAGTCCTCACAACACTGTTGTGGTAGCCAAAATACGCATTCAATATGAACAAAACTAGTTTCACATAGGATACTTTTATCTTTCCAAAGCTCATATGGTTAAAAAGTAATCAAGACAAATAACTAGGTACTAGTTCTGTAACCCATATCGTGAATATGTCTTTATTTACTGGGTCTGGACAAATGCAGTCAAGAAAAAGCTGACCATGAAACAACAGTTTCCCAAAACAACATGAAGACGTCTTTGAGTAAGTTTTGGCACAATATTATACTATAAAAAAATCACTGAACTGCACATACACACAAGTCAGAACCTTCACTGATGTTAAACAGGACAAGCTGAACATACTTCCAAGAATGGGTGTGGTCTATCTCTGACCTTTACACAACATTAAGTGTTTACTTCCTTAGTACAAAATATTCTAAAAATATACTGTAATAATTGGATACAAGCCCAAACCAGTTCCCTCCTCCCTTATGTCCTCTCCCTCACTGGAGTCCCTGGCAGTCAGCAAGGTCTATATAATCATGCACCTTTTGCCTTCCTGGAAGGAAAGGTCCTTCCTCAAGGCTGCAACAGCAAGAGGGGAAAAAAGAACAATACTGTCAAGGGATTACGTCAGCTAGAAGTTGCATTGCTCTTGCAAGCAGGGATAGGTAGATTTGAGAAAAATCAGCACACGGTAAGTTTACTTCTGAAATGAGTAAAAACCACTCCTAAGTTCAGCTTTGATTCAGTAAATAATTTTAGAAAAGAATTGTTTCTAGAGTCACAAAACTAGTGGTAGGAGTAGTATTTAGCTTACTGGATTGAGAGCTCACCGAGGGTACAGAAGAGTCATGTCCAATATATTCCTCTAAGCATATGGTGACCTAACTGGCAGTTGTCCTCTTGCCATCATGCTGCAAGGTTATTCAGGCAACAGAGGCTCTTGAAACCTTCTGTTGATGCTACATACTGCTTATCAGAAGCAAGCAGGCACTGGAGGGCTCAAGTATTTCTAGACAAGTGCCCCATCATCTGCCTTCTAGCTCAATAGCTCCATGGAACAAGCTCAGCAAAGACCCACCTGCGACTGCTCTCTAGCCCAGCAGTAACAATGTTATCCCAAGACTCAAGAGATCCAAGTTCAAATGCTCCCCCAAATCCTCCTCACTGCATGACAATTTTAAGGTCTGTTTTGCAAGACTTTCACAGGGTATCTGATTAGTGCTTAGAAAAATAATCCCTTAAGAAACATACAAAATAGGATAAGGCAGCCTTAAAGCTTGTAGGCTTAGCAACAGAAACAAAAATAATCAGGAGTAATTCTTTTTTGTTAGGAAGGATACATATACTAGAGGCACAGAGGGTTCCAATGGATTAAAGAGCACGCAGAGAGCTTTTTGCTACTTTTTCAGCATATTCTCAAAGCAGAGAACCATTTGGGCAGAGTTTTACCACCTCTTTCAAATCCAGTGCTCCTTCTGAAATTCACTAGAGGTGAGTGCTTCAAAGAAGCCTGAAAAAGGTGCTTAAAAATCATGAAAACTTTTAAATGCTCAACTAAGTTATAGAAAACCATCCCCAAAGACTTTAAATTATTGCTGTGCTGAATGCCGCAGTTAAACACCTCCTCCTCAAGATTTTCTTTTTTAAGAGCTCTTTAATAGGAGTATCTAGAAGTACCTACACTCAGTGCACCATACTAACAGGGAGGGTTGAGAATGCAGCAGTGAGGGGAGACTGCAAAGCTTGCCTCTATTTTATACCAGGGAAATCAGAGATCAAGGGTAAGTGATTTGCCTGAGACCACCTGGCAAATGGCTGATGGAGACAAATAAAAGAACATTTATCTTTTATGTTACTATCAACAGTTCCTCTACCTCCTGTCAAAAAGGCAGAAAGGTTAGAGACAAGCAGTAAGGCTCTCACTAAAACACATTAGGAGTTCATTCCAGGTAGTAGTCAAAGATTGTTTCCAACTCAGTAGCCTATTTCTTATCAATGTTTAAAACAAAACCAAAAATCTGTCCAGTTTATATACTGTCTCATTAGTGAAAACTGATGCAGAGAGAGATGGAGAGTACTGGCTGACAATACCTGGAAAGCTAATATAAATATAGGTTTTTTTTTTTTTTTTTTTTTTTTTTTTTGCAATCCCTAGCTTTATCACAGATAGTTTCAAGATAATCCCATATACCCTTTGGCTACCACCT